CTTAATTCTGTAATAATTGACGAATCTATCAATGCTGTGACTTCTTTATGGATTTTCATGACTTTTTTCCCTATACACGTTAATTTGCAAAAAGTTGCAAAGATCGATGGACATATTATCAAAGATATTATCAAACTCCGTAAGGATGTCACGTTGGATTTCTTAGAAGAAATTTATTTCACGTTCACAGGTGTATTTCTGATCTGTTGGCTGCCGTTCTTCACGTGCAACATCATGGACGCGATTTGCACAAAGCTGACCGCCGACTGTCAACCGGGCGTCACCGCGTTCATAGTGACCTCTTGGCTAGGGTACATGAACAGCTTCGTAAATCCCGTGATTTACACTGTGTTCAATCCGGAATTTCGCAAAGCCTTTCATAAACTCGTCAGCTTCTAGGCGTATCTCAATTTCGTTTTATCAGGTCACGTTTTATCTTGGAATGGAGGAACAACAACGAGACAATTGGACAATCGAACAGCTCAACATTTGTTCCGGCTGAAGGTATATATGTATATATATATATCTTTTCGTAGTCGTGCCCTTCGAGTCTTTTGTAGACTGGACAATATGAGAACGAGGTCATTTTCCCCTGATTGTAATAAGAAAAAGAAAATAAAATAAAAAGAAAAAAAATAGCGAAATTAAAAAAAGAAGAAAAAAAAAAGATTAAACGCGGTGGAACGAATCGATCGTAGCGAAAAAATAAGCGAGCCAGACCGAATCGAAGCTTTTTATGAAGAATAGAATTACATCGTCGTGCACTTTTTACTTGTCCCTTTATCGAAAGAGATCATCGTTAATATTCTCTCGCCAGCACTGTATCATCGTCCACTATTCCTCGCCGCGAGATCATTTCGTTCGATACCGGAGGCGATGTGCATCGATGTTAGAGCTGAATTACCAAATAAATATTTAAGCTAACGATAAGTATAAAGATATATCGGAGGATTAAAGAAAAAAAAAAAAACGAGGAGGAAGAAACGAAGTCACGGTGTTTTAAATCGCGATGTGTTGTTAAGTGCGTCGAACGCGTCGAGAAATTTGCGTTTTCCTGCCATTTCGTGCGACTCTGGCTTCGTATAAATAACGCGAATATATAAAGAACACAAGAGTTTAAGAATAAAAGGAGCGATAAACATCAGGTTAAAGCGTAAAATCGATGGAAGGCGTGTTTGACGAGCAAATGATATATATATATATATATAAAAAATTATGTATATATATATACATACCTTGTTGGATATTAAATATACCGTGGCAGTATTATCGTAGCTCGTAAGGTATAGAGAAATTTTTTGGCTGAAAAAGCGGAGGAAAGCACCAGTTCTACGGCATACTGTTACGCGTCTCTGTGCGCGTCGCAGTCTAATCCCACGTCTTTGTACTATGTACGATTTATCCGGTTGAAGCATCCGGATCCACCCCGTAATCGTTTCGTGATTCGTCGTTCCGTCGTTTCTCGTCCTTTCCTCGCAACGAGATCGAGGAACAAGTTTCTGAACGAAAGTGTTCGAGTCTCGTGCAATTTTGCCCGAATTTTATAAATCGGTCGAGGACACGGTTGCGCATACGATATCGGAAACGTGTTTTTCGAATTCTAGAAAATTGATTCGCGCGAAGGGGGGGAAAGGAATCGAGACTCTGTCGAACGTGTCCATGATCGCATCCATGATGACATTTCGAGGCTTCCTTCGAGCAGTTGCGCCCCCTCTCCGACCTAGTCTGACCTAAATCCCTTAAGAAATCATTTATTATCTATCTCTGTTATCCACTTAATATCGTAACGGTCGATAAACCAGTCCAACTCCCCTCTCAACATTTCCCTTAAATTTTTTTTCTTTTTTTTCTCAACTTTGAATAAATCATAATTTTCAAATATTCGTAATAATTTGACCACTCGCTGTATTCGTATATTTCGTAAATACTTATCCTGTATCTACCAAACTCGCACGAGCACTGCTCAAAGTGTCTTCGACACTTTCCAATAGTCTTTCGACTAAAAATTCGCCCCTCGACGGAACGAGATTATTAGCTCGTTCTCTTCGATCTATCGATCATCGTCCTCCCCAACAATGCCATTCGTTCCAGCCTCTAATTAAGATTTATGTATTGTCTTTGGAACGTTGGACGAGACGAAAATCGATAGAGGGAAGGGAATCCGCCTTCCATCCCGCCTCCAAGAGGCCTGGAGGAGAGAGGGTTCCTCCTCCAAAGATAAACATCGTGTACGTAGTTGGTGACGCGTTCGACAGAATGGAAAATCGAGATATACGCGTCAGAAGCACCTGCACCGGCTCCGTTTCACGTCCCCATCTCCACCAACGTCTGCAAAGTTTCCGGCGTCCGAATTTTCAAACATATCAATACAAGCACGACAGGTAGCCGTATACACGCGCTGGTCGAACATATGCCGCACGAGATACGATCAGGAAGGAAGTGTTTATTCCGAATTATTAACCTGAATTATTTACTTTCGTTCGAACATCCGCGACTGTATGTTATACACCGTTGTATCACATTCGAAGAGATACAACGATACAAGTTACGCACACTCGAACACTCCGAGTCTATATTTTTGACCAGTTAAGCGTTTGTAAGTCGCTTCCCTATCAATTCTTGGAAATGGGATCTCGAGCTTCGAATGAAACTTGACACCAACTTGACGTTCCGATACGTACGCAAAATATACGTCTCCTCTCCTTGTTTCGCTCGAGTCAGAAAGTTCTCGTTTGAAGCAGCAACATTGTAATTGTTTGGTAAGGAATAGCTTAACAATAGCTTAACATTTATTACGAATTCTTCTTTCCATTTATGTTGAAATTAAATCGAAGCTTAAGAAATGGGATGATTCTTTTCGATTCGTATTTCGTGAATGCGCAAGACTTACGCGAAAATACACGGAAGACACGTGTGTGTCAACGCAAAATGAAACACGCTTGTTTCGCGCGTTTGACCCGCGATCCTGCAATAACTACAATCAAAGCTTTTTACTCTTATCAGTTTCTGTGAATGCGTTGTACAACTTTGAAACCTTCCAATGTATATTTGTACATAATTAGTAGTAATATTAACGAATCAATTGATCGAACTGTGCAATCGGTTGTAAGGCGACACGTGCGAATAGAAGATACGCGTGCGATCGCCTGCTAGCAAAGAGGCTAGGCAAGTGGATGGAAATCGTTTGTGGGATCGACATTACGCGCAAATTCTAATAAACTCTCTATTACGTGGATGAAAAATTGTCAAACTCTCGTTTTCCGAGAGGAATTTCAATTTAAAATTTCTCGCGATTCTCTGTTTGCGAAAACAGTGGAACGAAACATTAACAGAAGGAAATGGCAAAACATCTTTCGCCAAATACATTTCGATGCAAACTTGAACGTATCCAAAGTTACTTAAACCGCAACGCGAGTTAAAGAAGCGGAAGATTCCGTGCAAAGTTTCGAATATTCGAGATTCGCAACATTTCACAAGGAAACATAAAATCTCGCAAAGCTAGTTTCGAACAGAGAAAGATTATTCTCATCATTCGTTTTCAACGCGAGATTTCTTTAAGGCGTGCGATTCGCGATTCCGTTATTGTTCCAAAAACGATGACCATCCGCTCGAACATTCCTCGATAAGACCTAGAAGACACCGCAATTACTAAATACTAGGGACAAAGCTAGTACGTATGTAAGTGCTAGGCAAACCTTTAGGGAAACTTTTTTCTCGATGAATTGTGATAAAGCTAGGTTTTGTTACGTACCTTCGTATCGCCCATTTCAAACATTAAATTTAATAATAATTTATGATTGATGAACTCGCACGAATCGATCCATCCTTCTTTCTATCCTTTTCCAACCAACCTTTTTCTCGTTTCTCGTCAAAATCGATCGACAAGAATGAAATTTCCATCGGGGGGGGGGGGGGGGCGAGGAATGCGATGGATTGAAAGGCGCATTTGCCGCGTTTCGATTTCCACGAATCTCTTAATTCACGCCCAACTGTTCAAACTGAAACTCTTAAAGTCGGTTAAATCCATTCCGTTACAGCGAATCCTCGTCGTCAGGATCGGGCAACTTTCTGTCCTTTAATAATGGCGGCAACAAACTTTTCCTTCCATCGGCCAACATTTAAATTCGATTCGACAGATGGCGCTGCGGTGTCACTTTCGCGATACGAGTCCATTTGAAAGAGAGAGAGTAATAGTTCTATAGCGTTTCTCTCGAAAATTAGTTTTCGCCAGAAGTGGACAGTATTGAGAGTAAGATTCATTGTCGGTGATTGATTTTCAAAAAGAACAATTTTCGAAAAAAAATTTCACTCTCGAATATATATTTCGAGGGCGCAAACGCGTTTGAAAAACTGTAAAATTTTCTCGAAAATTAATCTTTCCACAGGTATTTTTCACATGTACGACGCGTACAACATACAAGCATTTATTCAATAATAATTTTAAAATAAAATTATTTGTCTACTAGCGAAAAATAATTCTAGACAATTTTCTAGCATTTCAGTTTCAAATGTATTCGTATCGTTACGCCCCATCGCAGAGAGATCATTTTTCAAAGAATAAGTCCGATAGATCAGTGGATTGCATTAATTGGCAAATTTCTTGTCCTTCGTCAAGGCGAAAGTTTCGAATCGGCGATCTCTCAATACCGCGGAATCATTTACCGATCTCCTTATTTTCTTACTTCCCTTCTTTCTTTTTTCTTCTTCCCTTTCTTCTTATTTTCTTTCGTTTTAAACGCGCGAGAAAATTCTCGAAACGACGACCAAAGCTTCTTTCTTTAAGCACCTTTACGCTCAACTATTGTATTCGAAACAAGAAGAAAAATTAGAAGGCAAAGCGTATTTACCACGGCTCAACAAACAGCCTAGCGGATTCTTTTAACGCAACGCACTTGATAAACGCATTATAAAAGTTTTCTTACAATCCTGCTCCCAAGATCGCTCCGTATTTTTCTAACCCTTCCTTCTTCTGTACATAAACGTGTATGTGCGCACGATACACGAGATATCTTTACTCCGACTTGCTTGGTCGAAGTGCCCTCCTACGTAACGTTTCTTTATTTTTCAGGAATATTCGTCGAGACATTTGTAGAAAAAAGAATCTTTCGCCTTCTTAATTTTACCGATTCTCCAATTCTCTCTTTTAAAAGTTACTTTTAAAAATGTCAAGTTTAAAGCATAATAAAATCTTAAATTTTTTTTTTTTTTTGATATTTCGAAATGCTGCGTGCGAGACACTTCAACTAAGGGAAGCAGTATTGTAACGAGAGTATATGAGGGTAGCGCTGTACATCTGTGTAAATATACGTATATCTATATACCGATATGGGAATATAACGAATGATTGTGAATTTCGCGGAAATTCTCGAGAAACCGAGGCCTGCTCCTTGGAACGAGAACGAGATAGAAGAAGGCGCAAAATGGTATAAATAAGCGTGGAGTATATCTACTAATAAGTGTCCATGTTTGACGAGAGTGTGTCACTTCGGCATGAGAGGATTACGTTTTTTCCTATGAATTTCTTAATCATTATTACGAATGGTCTATACAGGGCATAGATTGTAAGAGATTGTGAAAAAAAAAAAAAAGGAAAAACTTTAATTTGACGATTAGTTGTAAGCGAAACG